CAGATTGTTATCAAATAACCTAAAATCCATTCTCCCAGAATCAAATAATGCAATTTTAATGCTTGTGTTCCCTTGGAGGGTGATGCATCGTAAGGTGAGACAAACATAAATTTCAGATATTACAATAGTACAGGATGTTGCCTCAATGAGTGCCAAACCAAGATGGAGGCAGAAATGTAATCTGTTGTACTTTGCTCCTCAGACACTGTGCTAGGCATAATTGACATGTATGTATGGCTACTACCAGTAGTATGCAGGTGTGTGTATGTGTGTGTGTATATAGAAAGATAGATAGCTGACAGCTGATAGATTGATAGAGATCATAGATAGATAGATAGATGTTAGATGATAGCTAGAAGATATAGCTAGATGAGAGATTAGATAAAAACCAACCAAATTCTCAATGGTGTCATTTGAAAAACTAAGTATGCCATTAAATAAACTCCCTAAATACTGTAGCTACTGGAACTTCAAATAAATTAATTGTGGCTGGCCTGAGGGTACATATCAAGTAGGAGAGTATTTTGGGTATAAATAGCTTTTTTGCACATGAAATTCATGTAAAGAATGGCTGATCCTTCATTCTTTTTAATGTTTTCTAAATAGACCAACTGCAACTTACTTAGACTTTACAAATCTTTCAATATTTTGCACCTATCTGGATCTTGACATAGGAAGAAGTCCTTTGCCTCTCCTTGAATTGATTCACCCTCATTTGTTTAACTCTCACTGAATTATGAAACCCCATTTTTTTGTTTACCTTGCACCCATCTCTCCTAATGGGAGAAAAGCACAAAGCACATCTACTCTGCAGCTCTTACTGTCCATAAATTAATCTGTCCAACAAATAACTCTCAAATAAAAATAAATGCCCTTTCCATTTACTGCTGCTGTTGAGAAAAGCACAAAAAAAAGAAACACACATAATCAATGGAAAGTAATACAAAAGGTGTGAAGCTTGGATGACCTCCATACAAGAAACAAGCTGACAGCCTATGAAAGTCAGACCTGCAGTTCAGCCTGTTACTCAATCAGAATCAATGGGAGGGGATGATGTCTAATTTAATTTATTCCATTTCAGACATTGTATGAAGAGAGGTATATTAAAACGAGGAGCATGATAACACTTTTATAGACTAAAAATCACCCACCTCCCTTAAAATCCTATATCACCGTATTTATCTGTATATCTGGTGAGCTGCGGTTCACAAAGGACTATACCTTTTAATCAAATTGGTTAGTCTGAAAAGATGCTACTAGATTCCTTCTGATTTTTTTGTTTTGTGGATTAGCAGTTATCTTCAAGGAAACGTCTGAACTGCATGAGAGAGCCCAGCATTTCACAAATGCAAGGCAACATCCCATAACAAATCTGTTCTCTTCTCCCCATGCTGATTTCTAGAAGTGTAGAAAGTAAGATGAACTTCATGGAGATATGTGGGAATCAAGGCAAAGTGGCTGAAGCATTTTTAAAGTCCAGAATGAGTTAATACTTGGAAACCACTCAGGCAGGTGCCTTCCTAATTCACTGTAATATAAGGAGGAGGAGGTATAGCCCAATCAGGTTTGCAAGATTGTGTTGTTATATAACCAATCTCAATAAAACTAATTTTAGCCTTCCTTTCAAGTCAACTTCCTGGAGTGGTCTACATCAGGGGTCACCAACCTTTCGGACCTCAGGGACCACTAAATTCATAATTTTAGATCCCGTGGACCACTAATGTGATCTTCATAATGACCAGCTGGGTGGGCATGGCTAGGTGGTCATGTGACTGGGTGGGCGTGGCCAACTTGATGTCATTCATGTCGAGGGGGTGCCCCGTTGGCCTCTATTCGCCCCTCCCCTCCCAGCCACTCCTCGCCTGCCTGCCCAAGTTGCTTAGGGCCCCAACAGGAAGCAGTTGTTGGAGCTAAGCAGCCACCATCAGAAAGAGTTGGCAAAACAGCTGGCTCAGTTCAAATTGGATCTGACCAAGGAGGACGCTCAGCAAAAGCACCACACTGAAGACTAGGAGAATAGGCTTTCCAAGCAGAGGGAAGACCTGCGGGAATGTAAGGCCAGGTACCGGCGCCTGGAGGCTCAGCGGGCTGAGATGGTCAGCCAGTTCCAAGCCATGATACAGTCCCACTGGAACAAGGCCCTCCGGCTCTTCGCCACCAGAGGTGCTTCCCTCCAGCTTTCGCCCAAAGTGAGGGCGAAAGGAAACTTTCAGGAGGCTGAAGCAAACCCCAAGTCAGAATTTCTGCCCCCCTCCGACCTGCAGAAAAAGACCCTGAAGGGGGAGACTCTCAGCAATAACACAAGCATTCATTGCACGTATCCAGCCCAGGGGCCGTAGTTTGAGGACCCCTGATTTAATGCAATATAAAAAATGCAAATAATTTTTCTGCGGACCACCAAAATTTTCTCACGGACCACCACTTGGTGACTCCTGGTCTACATAGTTAAGGAATTCAAGAAGACTGCACTGTCTATATGTAGGTTATCTCCACAAAATGTTTTTACTTCTCTCAGAACCTCTCCAATGTATCTATGTTAACTGCGTAGAGGTAGTCTTCAATTTATAGCACAATTATGACCAGAATTTCCATTGCTAAGTAAAGTTGTTGTTAAGTGAGTTGTGCATGTTTTTATGACTTTTCACCATGATTGTTAAGTGAATCACTACAGTTGTTAAGTAAATCATGCAGTCATTAAGCAAATCTGGCTTTCCCCATTGACTTTGCTTGTTGGAACCAGCTGGGAAGATCATAAACAATGTTCACAAAAATGTTGCAATCATTGTAAATGCACGCTGGTTGCAAATGCCCAAATTGTGATCATTTGATTGTGCCAACATTATGTTAGACTGGTTGTAAGTCCCTTTTTTCTCTACCATTGTAACTCTGATCGCTAAACAAATGGTTGTTAAGTTGAGAACTAAATGTACATGCAATTATTTGCAGGTCAAGTGCAGTCATACACAACCCAATCTGGGTTTTTCTCCTAATAATGTTTATTGTGCTAAAAAGAAATATGCTTATGACGGGGTGGCTGACATAACCCAGTCTTTGATTGCACTCTGCTCCGCAGCCAGAAGAGCCATGCATATGTTGGGCTAGGGCAGAGGTCTTCAAACTTGCAGCTTTAAGACTTGTGGACTTCAATTGTGGACTTGTGGACAGCAAAGCTGGCTGGAGAATTTTGGGAATTGACGTCCACAAATCTTAAAGCTGCCAAATTTGAAGACCCCAAATTTGAAGGAAGTGCATGAAACTTCCTTTGCTGTAACTCACTCAAAAGTTCAGAAGAAATTGCACTCCTGTATTGGCATTTGTGAGTTGCCATTCTGAATTATATCCAGAGTGCTCATTTCCCCTGAAATGTATTTTCAGTGTATTGTCATAAATGCTTTCAAGTTACTGATTAAATGGACATGACATTTAAGAATTAAAAATTAAGGCCCCCAAAACTTCACTCTTGTCACAAAGTTGTAATCCTTCCAAGAATTGATTGTTGGGAACTTTCGAACAGCCTGATACTTGAGTGAGAATCTTGAGCCATCTTGCTCAGCAACATCAATGCTAACAATCTCTACAGGGTTTCTGGCAAGAATTTTTCCTGATGCTCCTGGAAATGCCAGGAAATTGAACCTAGGACCTCCCACACGCAAAGCATGTCTTTGACTAATGAGCTACAGCTTTCTTTTCAGAGGATTGAAACTTAAGTGAGCAGATTTTGTCTGGCAGATTTGAAGTGTGCATTTTAAGTGAGAAAATGGATGGGGGAAGGAAGAGGGGGGAGGAGGGGAAGAAAGTAGATAGCAATGTTCTTGTTTAAAGCAAGCAATGATCTGCCTTCAGAACACGCATTATACACTGCGGTTTCCAGGATGTGTTGCACATTCTTCCGAACGTAAGATTCAGTTTCTAGTCATGTACAATGTCAAATTCAGTCACAGGATTGTTCAATACAAGAAATTCTGTTATGAGAATCTCTGCTCTTCTGGAGATTTGCTTCAAGTCAAATCTAGAAAGAACACTGCTCAGAATACAGTGGTGGGTTGCTACCGGTTCGCCCTAGATTGGGTGAACCAGTAGCGGCGGCAGCGGGAGGCTCCACCCACCTGTCCGGATGTCTCTGTGCATACGCAGAAGTGTCACGCGTGCGCACCCACGAGCAAACTGGTAGTGGCCGAAATTAAAACCCACTACTGTCAGAATAGGAATCATGTACGTATTTTCTTCCATCTGGTAAGAACTAGCCCATTTTTTCCAAAATAAATGAATATAAAATTTGGACAAGATGGACAAAATTGGACAAGAATGCAAGACTAAGCACTTAGTGTTGGAAAGACAAATTAACTACACAATTATAGGTATACTTATTCAGAAATAAAAACTTTCCCATTTAATGGAATGTCTTCAGTAGGAAACATACAGAGAACTGTAATTGTTGTTGGCTGATTGACATTCTGAGAACTTTTGTATCTGGGGGCATAACATTACTGCAGTATTACAAGATGGGAAGAACGCAAATGATTCAGGAATAAACTGTTTCTGTTGATCTATCTGTCTCCCTTCCTCCCTCTCTCCTCCTTCTCTGATGCTGATACATCACTCAGGGCAGAATCACTCAGCTAACAGCTAACAAATGACACTGTTAGAAGTTTGTATCTCAGTTGTATCTGCAATTTCCCTGATTAATAATCTAACAATAAATATGTTATGCAGCAAATATGCAAGGCTTATGGAATGCAAGGAAACTGAGTTCTAGTCCCAGCTGGGTGACTTTGGTCCAGTCACTCTCTCTCAACCACCTAATAGAGTTGTTGTGGGAAAACAGGAGAAGGAAATATTAGGTATGTTCATCATGTTGGGTTATTTATAAAAAACAATATATGTGGAATAAAAATAAATCTAAAATAAACAAAACAAATCACTGCATACCTGGAGATGAGCACACTTCGAAGAAGAGGGAGCAATTTAGGATAGGACAAAAGGACACCGATGAAACCAAATTCAAATACTTGCAATGTATTTGGATGTATATTCTTAATTTATACCCATCTAATAATGGACTTATACAAATGAGCATTTCGTATTCTTTCAATTACAATCAAACTGTAGCTTGGAATTTTCCTGGTGTCTTTTCAACCCACTTCTCAGCAGGAAGCAGTTCCTGCTGGAATTACTGACTGTTGAAAATTTTCATTGGTAGAATTAGCAAAAGTAATAATGCGCATCTTACATAACAAAACAACCAGACTATTTTTCTTTGCAATGTTCAGATCAAAGGAAATCTATCCATCTATATGACGATTTTACTGCCATATGTCTGGTTGAGAGAGATACATGTTTTCTTCAGAGTCTCCTTTTTGTTGTCCTTCTGCTAGGTTGTCTCTTGCACATCATCTTTATTTTAACAGCATGCCAGCCTCCACCTCGTCTTTAAGTATCATCAGGTTCTGCATGAGGCTGTGCTCTGTCCCATGAGTCACTTTCATAAGATCGTAAGTCTGAAATGTAGAAGAAATACAGAAGTAAAACATTCTGTTATCCTTGATGGTATGCCTCTAAATATTTCCATCTGGAATATTTTATTTCTAAAAAAAACAATTTGCAACTTCGCTAGCTATTGATTGTCACTTCAGCTTGCCTCTTCATATATTTCATAACAATGCAAGCTCTTTTCTGCCAGTTTATCCAGATTGCTATGAAATTTGCGGCTCTGAATGCTCGTTTACTTGGCCTCTATAAATTTTAAAATGCCATGTGTTTTGGGATATGTTTAGGTTAAAAATATGTGCACCTTTCAAGGTAACTCAGCTTTGTAGTATAAGAGCAGCATTATGGAACTGGTCCTGCTGTGTGTTTTCTCCATGATCTGAAAAAGGTTTCAGTTAGCGTTGGGATCTATAGAATGAACAGTGCCAAATAATGAAAGAACTTAACTATGAGTTACCATGAGCAAACAAATAGGATACTCAACGTAATATAAAAAACCACACTGCTTCTTTCTCCAAGAATATAAAACTCATTAGGTAATTGATAAGGAAGTGCAAGTAAAAGCCCAGTGCATTCATTTATGTCTAATTTGCATTTGGATTGAACAGGATACCTAACATCAGAGACACATGTAATGGTATGCAAATATGCCTCTCTTCTGCTCAGTCATGATGAAAGGAGAAAGCAAAGTCCATCCTGCTAATGGGCTCCAAAGCAAAGGCCAGGATATTGAGGAAATTGTTTCGGTTTCTACTTTATCCCTCAATTACATGAAGGCTTCTTAGAGATGCCAAGGAAGGCTACACTCATGTTATTTACATCACACACACAGTAAATAATGTATAGGGCAAGCTGGAAGGAACCAGTTCAAATTGAATCTATATGAAAAGGGATGCCTGTCATTCTAGGACAGATACATCTAGGTTATGTCCCTTTATAGCAGGGAACTAATATAGGTGGAATATACATGCTTTGGGGTAAGACCGTAAGAGTTTAATGTCTCAGCGGAGGACTTACTGCATTCTTACAAATTTCCAATCATCTTTAATAGTCTTGGTATATTGTGTGATATAAAATTCTTGGAGGCCAGACTTCTTCCTGATTTCCTCCATTTTTCTGTACACTTTGCGGAGGGGTTTTTTTTAAGGGTCTTACTAGTATCGAAACATAAAATCTGCCCTTTGTCTATTTTGGATCATCAAACTAATCTTTTGAAGTTTGAAAAATTATAATTAAAATATCTTTAACTGTAGGGAGTCTTTGGAGGTTACAGTTCAGTGTATGACTTATGAAGATAAACCCAAGATAAAAAGTAGTTTAATCTCCAGAAGGTGTGCAAGGAATCTATTTGTCTAATCACAGGCAAACTAGACTGCAACATTGACATGGACGGATAACTTCCAGGGATGCAGTGAAATGATCACTCAATAATACCATGTCAGACTTAGAATTCAACAATTCTGTCAAAAGGAGCCTGGTGGCGCAGCAGACTAAACTACTGTTAAAAGTAGCATTTAGCTGCCAGCTGCCTGCAATTACTGCAAGTTCAATTCTCACCAGGCTCAAGGTTGACTCAGCCTTCCATCCTTTCAAGGTAGGTAAAATGAGGACCTGGTTTGTGGGGGCAATAAGCTGACTTTGTATAAAATAGAACACCGCTTAGGGGGGGGGCAAAAAAAGCCCTACTAAGCAGGTATATACAAAAGTATGAAGGCTATTGCTTAATGCATTGTAAGCCGCCCTGAGTCTCCGGAGAAGGGAGGCATATAAATCAAACTAATAAAATAATAAAAAAATAAATAAATGAAGCAACTAGATGTCAAAATCAATTAAATGAGAAAGTAATAACAGTTATGAAATAACATGAAATTAACCAAAAACTTTATTTTTAATTATAATACTTTATCACAGATATTTACACCTCAAAATCAGCTTTCAAGAATATAATTATTGTTAGTATTATTACTACTATTATCCTGAATCAATCTGCTGAAGCATGAAGGCATCTTCACTGAAGATTATGGACTGTAATCTGGTCCAATAAAGGTTATGCCACTATAGATACCACTAAACGAGCATCTATGCCCAAGGTAGCATTGGAATTTCAATCACGCAATTAGTAGTTTAGCATCTTAACCCCTAAACTACTTCAGCAATTACTTCAAAAAACCCTTATATTTATATGTGTACATTTGTGTGTGTGCGCGCATGCACCCATATATACATGTAAGAAGTGTATGGCTTAATGCTGCTGATTTTTAAATGATTACTTGTAATGGGGCAGAAAACACACCATTTTAAGCTCAGTGAGAGAAAGGCCAGAAGCCTAACAAATAAGACAGAAGCATAAAAGGAATCCGATAACAATTGGTGTTCAATATCAGATAAAGCATTATAATAGTTTAGTTGAATTTTAGAAACTTTTTTTTTTACATTCTTAAACAGGAAACTGGAACTTAAACTACAATATGTGAAACTTTACAAAGAATCAGTTGGGGAATTACATAAAGCAGCTGTCAAAAAGCTATGTACTGTAACTCGAGCAAATATATTTTATATATACAGTGACATTTCCAGAAGGTCTTGTACATTTTATAAATCTATCACAAATTTAGAAGAAACTCCAAATAAGGAGCAGCCAGCTGAGACAGGTTCAGGTCAGCATGCAATGAACTTATATATATATAGGACATCATTCATGTGCAACCAACATGTTTTATGCCACATAAGTAAAATCTTATATCTTTTTCTCCCCAAATGCGTTTTAAAGTTTAAATAAGCTAACAGATTTAATTACCTATAGTAACTTATTTTTCCACAGGAAGTTATTTTGTTTAAGTACTTTCACAGATTTGGTTTCAGAATGCTATTGAGCTGAAAAAACTGTTAACAAAATAAATAATATAACTGGAAAACATGTGCTGCTTTCAGAAACAAGTTAGTTACTAATGTATTTCCTTTCAATAATGATGAGCAGATTATGTATATAAAATATATTGCTATTCTGAACTGGCTCACAAATAATTCATATGAAGACACTTCCTCCAATCAGATCTTTTAATAATACACATTCTTTGCAGCGATCAGCTCTGAATTAAATGCACTCACTACTTAATGCATCCAGATTTTGATTGTCCTCTTTATTTTTTTCATCTGCATTCCATCCCAAATATTTCAGGTGAGTTTCAGAATTCTTACTAGTTCATGATCAAAGGAAGCATTTCCACTACTATTTACCTTGCCTTTTCCATTCAGTGAGATGCAGAACATGATCAATATTTTAAAAGGAGACGCAGATTAAGGTACTGAAACAGTCTCTTGTTCATCCAACTTAATAGCTATTTGCCATTCAAGGTTTGGGGTGATTAATGACACCCCCTCAGATACTGAACAGTAATTACCAACCACTGCTATTAAAGTAAGTCTCTCTTGGAAACTGTAAGCAGCTCACTTTGTAGCCATTGCCTCTGGGGCTGGCGTAGATATAAAAAAGTGGGAGAGTGCTTGCTGACTGACATGTGGAAAGTGAGGTGAGCAGGGAGGTTGTAGAAATGCAGTCAAGGAGAAACAATTAGGAGGAAAGAGAATGTAGAACCAGTGAGCAAAACTGACCTGTTTCAAGGTTTCAAGGGCCTGAGAGGACATGTCCTGGTGGAACTGCAACTTGGCCACTCTCATCATCTGGATAGTCCTCAAAGGATGGAAGCCGGGATAATAAAACCTGAAAGAAGGGCAGGAAGAAAATTACATCCATTTGTCAGTTCTCACCTTCACCGTTCTTGCCTCAGTGGAGAGCCATTAGAGTAGGACTACAAAGCCACTGTGAATTTTAATGAGGTATTAGGGAAAAATTAGCCAGGGTTGAGGAGTGTGGAATACTGAGGGGTTGTTAATAAAGTATTATTTTTAATCTTGGAACAGTTATTATGTTATCCTGTTAGAAAGTGACAAGGGTAGGATTCCCCACCTTCCTGAGACAATGCAATAGCCAACAAAGAAGCATTCAGTCTTTCAGTTTTTCAGTGTAGGACCTGAACCTTCATATTCCCAGAAACTCCCTCAGCTTTAATCTTGTGAATTATTTGAGACTTATACTTCCTAACATGTGACTCATAAAATATGCATATGTAAGTGACTAAGGGGAAATTAATTTGTCCTATGGAAGCCAGACTTTCCTATCCTAGCATCTTCCAGCCATAATTTCTAGGAATTATGGCAATGGCCTTGACAGGGTGAGATGCACCAGGAGAGATGCATCTTTCCATCTTGATCAAGAAAGGTCAAGGAGGGGGATAATGTTTGTTGTGAAAGATGCACTTTTCTTAAAATCAATTAATAATTGGATTCCCTGGCTGAAAAGTGTAGAGAATTTGGCTGCAATGGATGATATCCATGGAATGGGTGGGACTGAAATGTTTAACCAATTTGGGAGTGGTGTGGTAGAAATTAAAGGGAAAGAACTCTTCATTCTTAATGTGAAGGCATTGATTTTGTCCCTTCAAAACAGAGTGTGCACACAGAGAAACACAGGAAATAATTAATCACAGCTTTCCCACTCCTAGTGGAAACCATGAGGCCCAAGAAACCTGTTGTAGCAGAAGAGATGAATGTGAGCTATAAAGTCTCTATTCTTTCCTCAAATATGAATTCAGTAACTGGATTCCAGAAAGCAATACACTTTTAGCCTTCTGTATGTAGTAGGAACACAATAAAAACAGTGGTGCTATTAGGATTCCTGAACACTGTTGGAAACATGATGACTATTCCTACAAATAACAATAGTCATGTCCAATATGATTTTAAACCATTATTTTCTGGCAGAAACAGATGTTTTAGGCAGATTAAATTATTCTGAACAAGCAGGCAAAGCAAAGCATGGCTTGCCAGATTTTTCACAGGTGATACAAATAATTTAAAAACGAGCCTTCTTTCCCAAAACTGTCTTCTCTTTGTTTAGATTCTGCCAAACCCCATTCAAATATCCTGTCCTCATAAATGCTACTATTTGCATGCCTCAGAGAAACAAGAAAGGCTGACAATCTGGGCCATTGAGCATAAAGCCACTTGAAGTAACAGCAACTGATATCAGGAAAGTCAAGAAGATGGCTTCCTGAGCTCTTTCACCAATAGTGCCGACTGGCCTTTTGCCAGGCTGCCCAGTCATTCTCTCCGGCAGGAAATTGATCATGCAGAGTCCTCCCACATCAGTCCTACTGAAGCTTCTCTAAAAATTACATCCAATTCCTAAGGTACTTAAGAGTCTGTAAAGATTTAGGATTAAGGTAAATGATACCAGAGGAAGTAGTAACTAATTAAGCAATGTCAGGTAGATAACTAAAGCCGGTCATAGGAATAATCTAAAAACAGGAAATTCAAGAGGTGAAGGTAAAGGAAGCAAGCATGAAATGGAGTGTACAGAGAACATAAATATTTACAAAGCTGTTTTATTGGGCTGATTTATGTACTTGTTTCATGCATGGGCTTAGTGGCTTTTCATTAGCTTTAAATCTGACACCTAAAATAGCTGCTTGGTATTAATTACTTTCTGTAATAATGTTTGTAAAATCATTTGAATATTCTTTGCATGGGACATATGCTAACAATTTCTTTGCATTCTCTGGGAAGAAAAATGAGAAGGAATGTCCAAACAGCTGGGTCCCACTGAACTTCAAAAAGAAGAGAGCATGGGGACAGTTCAATTTGTGAATGACATACTTAAGTTCAGCTCCCAAAAGACTAGAATCCTAAGGCTATCTCAGAAAAGTAAAAAGAGACTGACATACATATAAAAGGATTAAGGCGCTTTCAAATATATTTCAGATATATATTGGTTTCCAGCCAAGTCAGAGTACCTAGATAGAATGAAGTGCTACTACTAGTTTAACTGGCTCTCACTCTCTAAGAGAAAGTACCACAAGTGCCTCATCATTGGCCATGATTCTCATCCCAGTTCATGTTTAACCCCATACAATCATAAGCAACAAGAACTATAATGAAACAATGGATCTCATGTCAGCAGTTAAGAATATATTGTAGCTAAGAATATAATTATTGACTATTGAAATTGACTAAGAATTAGTTAAATTTAAGGGTCAACAGAAAAAGAGTTCACTGTAAAACATGTACAGGTAGTCCTTAAATTATGACCATGCACTAACAATTATGACCATGCACTAACAATTGTTCAACGTTACAACAGTGGTGAAAAAAGTGACATATGACCAGTCCTCACATTTACAACTATCGCAGCCTCCCTATGGTCACATAATCAAAATTTGGGCATTTGAGAATCAGAATGTGTTTAGGATGGCTACAGCATCCTGGGGTCATGTGATCAACACTTACAACCTTCTCAGGGGGCTTCTGACAGGCAAAGTGAATGGGGGAAGCCTGGATTCACTTAATGACTGTGTGATTTGTTTAACAATTGTGGCAAAAAGATGATTTAAAAAAATCAGGCATACCTCACTTAATGACTACATTGCTTAGCAACAGAAGTTCCAGTCCCAGCTGTGGCAGTTAAGCCAAGGATTTTGTAGAAAAATGAGGGCTGGTACCAGGGGTGAAATCCAAAATTTTTCCCTACCAGTTCTGTGGGCGTGGCTTGGTGAGCGTAGCAGGGGAAGGATACTGCAAAATCTCCATTCCCACCCCACTCCAGGGGAAGAATACTGCAAATTCTCCATTCCCTCCCCTTCTAGGGGAAGAATATTGCAAAATCTCCATTCCCACCCCACTCTGGGGCCAGCCAGAGGTGGTATTTGCCGGTTTTCCGAACTACTCAAAATTTCCTCTACCAGTTCTCCAGAACCCATTAGAACCTGCTGGATTTCATCCCTGGCTGGTACCCTGTTTTCAATTCTGCACTATTCTCTCCTTGAGACATCCATGCAAACTGCATCAAGTCTTTGTAGGGGAAGTATTTACACACACTGTTTTACATGCAGTGGTTACACACATACATACTGACACAACCATTGCAGAGCACCCCCAGAGTTGCACCCCACTCAGGCCTCCCCTGCCAATTGGCAGAGCAAGAACTTAGAATTCTTTCAGAAGGCCAGAATGGGGTGGGGGTGAGAAGCTGACTCAATCTGGAGGTAAGATGTCCCAATGGGTGGAGGCAACAGCAAAGAAAACTTTCTTCCTGGATCCCATCAGTAGAAAGTCTTTGACTGATGCAATCCAGAACATACCCTCCCTCCTGAATGGCAATCTATGGAAGAAGCACTTCATCTGGTTCCTCTGATAAGACCTGTCTAGTATGACTGAACCTCTGGCATAACTCTCATCTTCCTCAGAGCACAAAAGCTCCACAGCCATGTCAAGGTAGTGCCTCACTGGAGATGAGGAGGAGAAAGAGAAGGAGCAGGAGGAGAAGGATTTCAGTCGACTATACAATACTAAATCAGTAGACTTAGTAATTCTGTAATTCAGTAATTCTTATATCACTACAGCAACTATTGTAAATATCAGGATAATAACAGTATTTTGGTATTTTTCATAGGCAGCAGAACATTTTATATTGCTAGATCTACATCTATGAACTCTGTGCCAATTTAAAATAAACTCAGGTCCAGAATAGGAAATAGACTAACATAAAATAAAAGGAACGAACTGGAAAGAAAGCAATTCAAAGGAAGATGTACTTTAGCAACGATGTAACAATAACCTTGGCATTCATTATGTTCTCTGACAGCAAATCAATGCTAGTTGTTACTATAAGTAGCACACATTCAACTCTGTTACATGCCTTCAAAATGCAATTATTAGAATAATATCAGGAACAGAGATGGCAAAATCTTCAAAGAGTGTATAATCTTGGAACAAAATTCCTATCTTTCCTTATTTTCCCCCCCAATGTGTGTGACACATTTAAATATACACAGTGTCAAATGCTGAAACACTTTTGGAGACAGGATGGGAAGAAAATTATCAGGGATCTATCTGATTTCAATTACAATGATTGAAGTTTGGGGAAATGTTCCTAAATTCTGAACACTAAAAAGGAATTACACATTCTTCTCATAGTTTCCAAAACAGAGGTTCAGACGTTTTAAATAGTAAATTGGATTCCAGCAACAATAGAAATGCAAGACACCCAAAACATTATTGTACTATTCTTAATGCTGGAATTCATTTTACCTTGCAGGTAAAATGTATCATATTTATAATTCATTTTTTCATGGCAAGACAAATGGATTCTTTTTTAATTCCGTAGTATTATTTCTAACTTCATAGTTATGATTACTATTTATTCATTAAATGTGTTGTGAACTCCATTAAGCAATTAAATGTTATCTTTAAAAAAATGATCTTTTAAAAAACTAGCCATTATTATAGGACCATTAGTAATTATTAGTCCATGCTGTTCATAATCTACCTGTCTATAAATTTTTCTACATCTTGTCCATCTTGTTCTAAACAAAGTAATTTTCTTTGCCCTTTTTAAAAATTCAGTAGCTTTTAAATGACAAATATTCTGCCACATTTCTACTATGTTCTGAATTCTGTTATGACAATTATTAAATTGACCATACTAAACAGAATGAAGCTACATTATTATTTTACAATGACTTTAATGTCAATTTTGTTGGCATTAATGCCAAACTGGTTATGTTATAGGCATTTGTTTCACTTTATATTCTGTGAATCTGTTGAAAAGTAAAATCTATAAAATATCAACTAAGATAAACTCTGAATTTGCCATATGGATACTAA